CAGCAGGCGAAGGAGTAAGCTGTGAGTTGTATTTCTAAGGCAGAGTGACAAATCCCAGCTCAGCTTGTGGTGAATCAGATACTTTTAGAAAAAAATGTCTAGATCTAGAGCTGAAGTTGTACTTGTTACTACAGCTGAGTCTCACAAACTCATTCCCTCATGTGATGAAATTTATATTTGTATCTCACTGCAGGAAATGGGATGACTACAAACTGGGATTTGGGAAATTCCAGGGCAAGAATGATGAATATTGGCTGGGCAATGACCACATCTACGACCTGCTCGCTAGAGGTGCAAGTATTTTCCCTCCACAGCTTTCTTTCCAATTTGCATGAGACAGTTCATTTAGCAGGACACCGCTTTGTGTTTAGGAGAGAGCTCATTAAAGATTGACCTGATGGACTGGCACGGGGAAAGACGTTATGCAGTCTACGAAAATTTCCAGCTTGCCAATGAGCAGGTAAGAGATGGAGAGAGTGGAGATTTGCTTGTTTTATCTGTGAGGGTGGTGTATCTGCATGTGCAGCACCAGACTTCAGTATCAGGGCTGCAGTTACAGCTCTGCAAAACTTACCTGCTCTGGTTCCCTGAGGTTCCTGGTTTGGCTGACTGACAAACAGCCCTGGGAGCAGGGACGAAAGCCTGGGACTTCTTCCTCACAGCTGCTGAGTGCCCAAGCTACTGGGTGACAGGAAGATACGTGCTCTCCTGCTAACTCTGCTGCTGCAGGGAGGGCAGCTGTGCCACAGAGCACAGGCATCCCCACGTGCATTTGCCTCCAGCCTCATGGCATAAAGAGTCTTCTGTGAGGGAGGAGAAAAGGGTTTCAGCCTCTGCAAGGAACTGAACCCTATTCTCCTGCTTCCTAGGAGAGTGTTTCAGGCTGTCACATAAAGGTAATCACCAGAACAAACCCTCTCTACTCTCTTTTAAAAGAAAACAGTGAACTCTAATCAAAGCTTTGAAAGAGCAGTTCTCAGTTCCTATCTTGAAGAGAGGTACCTGTAGCACTACACTTAGTGGTTGTCACAGGCACAGAAAGCCCAAAGAGACACATCCCTGCATTTTCATGTTTGCTTTCTAGCTTTAGACAGTGTCCTGCTCCATGCAGGTGCTGTTCTTTGCAGATTTGCTTTTCTGAACACCACAGATAAGCAGCCCGCATACCCAAGGACATGATCTCCGTTGCATGGACCAGTCCTAGTTCCAGCGCCATCGCTGCTCCAGAAATGCACGCATTATGTTCAGTTTGCAATTAGAGTTTTCTTCTGAAAAGTTTGAACAGCTTCATTGTAATACCTTACCGCTATTTTTCATAAACAGAAGTGGAATATGATGACAGGAAGAAGCCACACCACAAAAGTAATCATCCACCTCGTATCAAATGTCTCTTAGATCTGTTAGTTGTTCACAGTGGAACTGTTCTAGGTACCCTTATGAGGACAGGACTGTTTAGCTAGAAATCAGATGGCTCCTAGTTCTTGGAGGAGCAAAATTCCTAAGGAGTGATTCTAGCTGAACAACTGATCAGTTTATGAAGGCAACTGCTTGGCAGTTTCCTGCCAAGCTGTACTTGATGAGCTAGGAAAGGCCTTCCAGCTTGTTGTGTAGGGTATCAAATGGTTATTGAAAGACAATAAAGCCTGAAGCTCTTTACAGCAGTAATTATCAACCCCTTCTGGAAGTTTAAATCCCGTATTGATCTTACACTAGGATCATTAAAGCATGGGGTGAAAAGTCACCCTTGACCTCAGCAGTCATGCCTTTGACAGTGAATACAATGGTCAGAGCAAATTTGATCTCAAAAACATGAGTGCAGAAAGAGCTGATATCAAAGACATGTTTCGCATTTTCTTGCAGGACAATTACAGGTTATGGTTTGGCACCTATTCTGGTACCGCTGGTGACGCTCTGTCTGGTGGGAGCAATTTTGAAGATCAGTGGTCAGCCTCTCACAGAGGGATGCAGTTCACCACATCTGACAAGGATCACGACCGATTCCTGGCAGGCAACTGTGCCTCAGAGAACAAGGGCGGTTGGTGGTTTAACAGGTATGGAAACCAGGTGATTCGTCTCAGCCTCAGAAAGATGCACACGGTGTGGGTGGCTGTGCAGCCCAGAGGACTCACCTGCCTTGCAGCAGCTGGAGGTTGCTGTGTGCACATGCCATGTCACACAGCCAAGGCTAAGGTGTTCACACCTACAGACCCTCAAAGGAAGGCAATCTCCTTCTTTTATTGCGAAACAAAGCAGGTAAGCTGCGTTCATTTTAAGAAAAGGGATCAGAATAAATGCATAGGGGGGCATGACTTGGAAAGAAAAGAGCCCAATCAAAATTCCTTACAGTGCTTTGGGTTACAGCCCAGGAAAGAAAACAATTGTAGCTGCTGCAAGATGAAGTATGTGCAAAGGACATTTCTCTGTTCTGGAGCATGTCTCAGGGGTGAGTTACCCCTTAATAGTCCTGATGGTATGTTTGCTAATTGGGCATACCCCACACATCAACAGATAGGGACTCAGGTTGACCAGCCCTGGGAGGATGGACACCCCGCTCTCAGTTTTTCTCTGCTTTGCTGCAGAATGAGCCTCTGCTTTCACCAGGCCCTCATTGCATACAAATTGAAATTTGTGGAGCTACAAATAAGTACATCAATAGTGGGATTCAACGTGATGAAAAGACATCTGCATTTTCAAGTGTCAATACGTAGCTGCCTTCTGTTGAGCTAGAGGCTACCAAATGGCTCTAGGCCTCTCTGTTTAGGCCACTGAATTGTGTCCCTGGTGAATACACTTGAAGGAGTCAACAGGTTGAATTATCTGACCAGCATAGGTGTCTACTTTAGGATGACCCACGTACTTCTCTGGGTTCCACTAGATGCAATAACCAGATCTCCATAGGCTATTGTAGGACTTCAGATAACTGGTTCAGTACAGACAGATCTATCTAGGTGTCTGAACCTGTCGATGAAACCTGCCCTGGTATTTCTATATGTATGTTGTGTGAAAATCGTACTTCACTGCAATGATGCAATATCTTCCCACACGAAACCTGATCTCCATTTTTTCCCTTTCCTAAACCACTACAAGGTGCCACGCTGTAAACCTCAATGGACGATACTACAGAACAGGAAGGTACAACAGCTCCCATGACGATGGTGTGGTTTGGTTTACGTGGCATGGGATGTGGTACTCGCTAAAATACTCAGCCATGAAAATCAGGGCTCCGTTCTTTATTGACAGTGAGAGTGGAGATGGTGAGAATGGCCAGACCAGCTGAAATCTGCCGCTTTGAAGAGAAAAAAAAATACAGGTTGTAAAGAATTGTATACATTAATAGCCAGCCCTCTGCTGCTGCTGATAGCCAAACTGCACTGTGGTGACTGGAGTTGCACCTTTTTCTACTAGCAGAAGCTAATGTCATGAGTTGTTTGAGCACAGCCAGCCAACAATTTAACAGAAAACATACGGATCTCAGTCATGGAATAGCCACAGATTTTTCATCAATTTTCTGGACTTCACTGGAGTCAAGTATGTTCTTTTAGCTATCTGTACTCTCCAAGGGCTAAATCTTTCTCATCTTGATTTTAACCATCAGTGCTTCAGTTACAAGAACATAAGAACAGGAACAACACAGCGGTGGGGAATTGGACTTCATCTGGTGTTCTGACTTCAGCAGTGTTTTGTTCTGGATCAGGAGAAAGCTTTTAAGCAACTCTCCCTATGGTGCCCAGTTGCAGAATGCTCCTGGAGTGTGTGAAACCAAACCAGTGTACGGATGTGCTCCAACCGCTAACGTGCATGCAGATGAAGGCTACTTCGACGTAAACCTTCACAACATGGACAGTGTGGACACCAGGTTTCATTGCCATCAGCTTCCCACTGCAGATCCACTTCTACAGCACACCACACTAATGCTGACAAAGACAATGCTGCTGGCCCGACTTAAACCCCAGATTAAAATTAGGCAGATTTTACTAAATTTAAGATGAGCACAGATGTTCTTAGGAGTTCATAAAGTGCAGTCATGATTCATTTGTACGTTCTCATGTAATTTACCAGATGACTTTGATTAGTGAAGGGGAACAAGAAGTGGAAAGTTATTGAACCATAAGGCACGCTGCTTTCATTGTCTCATTGGAGTGAAACGAAAGAGCAACACAAATGACTGAAAGAAGTGGAATACTGAAGATTTATTTTCCACAAGTTGTTAATAACAGATAAAAATGAACAGTAATACCAGCTTGATGCAAACCATTTAACTACCAGTTGTAGAATAAGCCTATTTTTTTCTGAATTACAGTAATTTTTTAAACTAGTAGATCTCTTCCATTTCTTTGCTTTTAGATCCACACATACTGTAATTTGTATTATATAACCATAAAGGGTGAAATAAAACCATCTGAGTAGGACTTAGCACTTTGTATCTGGTTTTCAACAGTAGGAGCTTGAACAGAAATATGGATGAAAATCTTGAGAAAGGTCATAATGTGAGAATTTTATTCTTTTGGTGTTGTCTCTGCTGTTTTCGTACCTGTTGTCCTGGGCAATTTAGAGGGTCTGCAAGGTAAGTGTACTTTCCATGACTCAAACTGTCCTGGAGACAATGCAGAGACACACGAACATTCAGTGTAAAATATGGGTTGGTTCCTCTACTTTGTGAAGAGGTGAGCCCTGTTCTCACTTCTTCCTAGACACCCCAGTGACTGCAAACAGGAACACCAGAGCGCAATGGGCCAAGGAGCCATGCTCTTAAAGCCCGCGCCCTGGCAAGACTGCACAGCTGCCCTCTTCCCAAGACTGGCATGGACCAACCTGGAACAAAGCTTGCACTTACATCTCTGAACTGAGGTTGCCCTTGTGAAGAAAGGAGTGTGAACACTTATTATCTCCTTTCTGATCACAACTTCCGTATTTTACTACGGTAAAATCCTAGTGCAAGGTTGTAACTGCATGTTTGGAACATAAGGAACCACTTTGTCAATGTTATAACCATGTGGCCCCTGATGCAGTGCTGAGGGCAGTAAGGACCATTTTTGCCTAGGCAGAAGACCCAGAGAAATGTGGGCGCAGTAAGGTCTTGTTAATGCCTTCTGACAGATGATGCTCAACCCATTCTTCAGTAGAGGGCTAGGGAAGCAGGGTAAAGATGACAGACTGGTGATGCTTAACTCTGCATGCTGGAAATCAGCTACAGCACCAAAGGGCCAGCATTAGTGGTTTGACAGCTCATCGAGCAGCCAACAACCCATCCAATTATGGAGTGTCAAGCAGGAGATGAAGTCAACAGGACACAGTCAGACAACTGCTGCCCAGTCGAGTTTCTCTGAGAGAGAAAAAGGGGCCAAGATCTGACAAGGTGGGAGAGAAGGGGTCTGACTTGCTGTCTTAGATGTAAGATGTACTTAAGTAAGGCCATCTAATGCATTACAGTAGCTGTTCCAAATGTAGCCCAACACCAAGGAAGCAGCATTTGGCTTAGAGCAAGGCTCCCCCTTCTCTGCGCTCCTGTGGTGCAGAGAACCCCCTGGGAGATGCAGGGTCATGGTGCTTTGTAGAGGACTCTGCAACTCCCACAGCAAACCCTAGGAAGTGTTTCAGAACCATATTTATCTCCATAAACAGGGTAAAATACCCTAGCAGAGTACTTATTTGATCTGAGGGCTACTGCAGAGCTCAAATCACTCCAACTGAATGTGAGGGAAATGCTTGCTGAATGTTGCCGTGCTGTACATTTGATCTCCCATTTCCCCAGGGTCTCCTGCACTGAGAGGCTCATGAAAGCTGTAAATAGATACTGTAGCTCTGCAGGTCTGATGCTGACAGCTCACCACTTCAGGGCAAACACGCTTCACATGGTGGAGTTTACCCTAGCACCAGGGTGGTAAGTAACCTGAGCAGCAATTGCTCAGATTTCCAGCTCATTTAAGTCAATTTAAAGACGTGTTGCATTTGATTACCCTTGGATTGGTCCTCAAGCGTGGACACATTCTCAGATGCTTTAAACAGCATGTCAAGCTGACAGTTTATGATAGCTGGTATGAACGCTGTGCTGGGCCGAAGGGCTGAACACTGACAACACGACATGCTGGTGCAGCTCCTGCGACAGTGAGCTCCCGTTACCCTGCGAGTCGGATTTGGTGCTCCCACAGCAGCTGCAAAACGTTACCCATCAAAAAGATCGTTCAAATGGCAGGGCTGACTCTGGCAGTCAAAATGCTGAGCATCCTCCCAGGCCATCAGAGCAAATCCCCCTGCTCTGTGCCTATCCAGTTACCTGTGCACGCTTTGGACACTTCCGTGGGGTGCCATCACTGGTTAATGCACAGTGATGCTGCTCTCTTTAAAACTGTTGTTGGTTTGGAGGGGAAAAAAAAAAAGCATGGGATTGGGAAATCTCTTTTTCCACTCAGAAAGCCAGCTTTGAGAAAGGCAGCAGCCTACTGCCAGAGAACTGAGCACATGCTCATTTTTCCTTCACACCCACAGGGCAGGCTAAAAGGCGTGCAGGGCTGGGCTCCTTCGGGAGAGTTCAGACTGACAGTCCTCTGCCTGAACCTACCTTCTCCCTCCATCCTCCACGGGCAGCATGTCCTCTCTCCTTGATGTTGCCCATGAGCATCCCCCTGGTCTTTGCAAGCTCCCTGAAGAGGCAGTTATCCCGACAAACGCCAAGCAAAGGCTCTGACGCATTCCTGCTGGCCTGAGCTCTGTCTATGTTGTAACTGGGGTTTCAAGCCAGTTCTGAAGACATGCAGCAGCGTGTAATCGTCCATTTGTGATCTCTGGTTTTAAAGCATGACAAAAAAAACCCCGAAACAACCCAACATAACTTTTGTACTTCAGCATAAGGTTGTCCAGGAATCACCAGATGCTGTCAAGCCATTTTATTTCCCCTTTTTTTTTTCCCCCCCCGCAAAACATGTATTAATCAACAACATCTGTTGTTTTCTGGTTTTGTTCATAATTTATTTTGAGCTTGCTGTACTAGTATTATTGACTATTTACATTTTTAAAAAGGTTTAATAAAGGCAAAGATTGCTGTGGAAAGGATGGGTAATTTAACAGCTCTCTCACTGCCTTTTACAACTGCTTAAATGCTGCAGTAACATTTCTGTGAGGACTAAAATTTGATCACCTGTTTTCTTCACTCTCCCAGTAGCATTTTTCTTTTCTACTCATTTCTACTAATTTTCTTTTCTTCTCATTTTCTTTCCTTTTCTACTCATTTCCTGCAAATATTTGCACATTACCGTTTTCTTGGTAGAAATATTGGCAGAAAGAAAATATCAAAGTCTTGAATGATGAAAAATGACCCCTCAATTTTAAATTCACTCCAAGTACTCAGCATCAATCATTTGTACTTTCATGCAACAAGCTAAAAGAAACACCACCATACGACTTATTTGAGCAACTACGACGAATCAACACAGTTCAGTAACGACTACCAGAAAAACGGTGAAAGCTGCTCACAACTTGAGGTTTGTGTTTTCTAAATGGGAAATGATTCACTAATTAGGACAGACGGCTGGGGATACTGGACAACATCATAATTTACTAGAACATGGTCCACAACGTGAGCAAGGCTGGATCAGTGGCATTCATCATGTATGATGCAAAAAATGCGACTGCTCTATGCAATAAAATCTATTGGCTATTCCTGAGTCACGCCTTCACTAACACGTGCTTTCCCAGGGTATTCTGTGTGTACTTTACATGCATACATACAAAAAATGATGATATGGAAGCACTTTCCAGTAATTAGAAAGGAATGTGTTCCCAAAAGCCAGACTGGGGCATTATTCCCTCCTGCTCTGTGCTTCCACCAGAAGCCAACAGATCCTGCGGATCCTCTCCTGCACACACCCCTCCTGCAGGGCTACACTGAGTCACTCAGATCACCAGCTTCTCAATGCTTAAAGTACTTGTTTCATCCTCTTCGTTTGAGCCAAAATACCCAGGGAGGTCGATCATCTGCTGCTCTGCCTCTGTCAAGCCAAAAGTAGTATTATCATAAAAGGCAAACTCAGGGTCTAAGGGGAAGCTCTGGCACTTGTCCCTTCGGTGCTGGGCAGGGCTTATGCTGAGGCCTCTCTGGGAATTATCTTTGCCAGCCGAGCCCATTTCCTTCCTCCACGCACCTCTGGGGTTAGATGAAGGGCCCCTCTTACTTCGGCTGGGCTCAGGGTTATCAGCTGCCCTCTCCTGGCCAGCAGGCTGGCGGTCGGTGACCGGGTCCAGCTTCTTCACCGAGGGACCTGCCCTGTGGTGGCCCTTTGCGCCATGGCCCTGCGTTTCACAACCCAGCACACTGCTGTGGGGCTGCTCCAGCTTTTCACAGGTGAGATTAGCGTTTCTCGATTTTGGCCGTGTCCTGTTCTCCAAACCCTGGTCCCACGTTCTGGTTCTGGAGTTGTAGAGAGGAGTCTGTCGGGGGGTGAGGGTGGACATGCTTCTCTCTCTGAAAGGCCTGGCCTTTTTAGTTTCATGGAAACTGGCTGTTCTTCTGAACTGTGGGTTTCTGTGACAGCCCCTCTCGGACAAGTCCCCTCTGTTATCCTGGTGCTTGAAATGAGCTCTTCTTATCAAGGTTTGGGTAGGGCTCATTGCAGGATTGGCCTGCGAGAATGGAAAATCCAGCCTAGAGTGAGAGCTTTCCCCTGGGAATCTGGGCTGACTGGTTGGCTGGTCCAGAAATGGAGATTTGATCCTAAATTTGTTTGCCACTGTCTCCTCTTGGTTTTCTGTGCTCAGGGGAAGCATCGTGGTGGCACCAACAACTGTGTCTGTGAGGGGATTCTGAGAGACGTGGTACACCTTGGTGGTCTCAGTCAGGCCTTTCTTCTTCATCTCCTTCAGCTGCTGCTGTGCCAGGCGGTAGCTGAAAATCGGAGGGATTATTTTTTGGGCGTTTGGCTGAAAGTTCTCACTTCCAGAGGCATCATCTTCTTGGGCAAACTGGAGGCTCCGCCTGTAGGTCAAAGGAATATTAACAGGAGCATCCCCTCCTTCGGTGAAGCTGTCTCGCTGCTTGTTTCCTTGGCAAATATTCTCTTCGTCGGAGTTTTTGCGGAAACCGGGGGAATGGACGGAGTTTCGGCGGACAGCAGCACTGCACTTCTGAGCTCGGCAGAGCTTCCTCCAGAGGGTGATGAGAACGGTGGCAACGATGATGAACAAGCATAGGGAGATACCTGTGATGGTGACTATGTTGTTTGCTTTCTGGTCCTCTCCTGGCTCAGCAGAAGGTGGGGTGGGAGCCTTGAGAGCTGTAACAAAGAGCACACGCATCTGTCAGAGCTACACTGTCATCAGCACTTTGGTATTTTAGGATGGATACTTTACTACAGAGAAAAAAGAACCAATTAATACAGTGCGGGAAGTTACAATTTGCTCATTGCAGATGACTTACTACTGATGTATTCAGACTGGTAGGAACAGATCTACTTACATTAAACCAAGGCTCCCACGAACCTTTTAAATATAATCATTACTATTTCCTGTTCTGCCATTTCCATAGGGCACTCCTAAATATGCGTAAAATCAGGTAAGAATATTTGCCCTCCTTTATTAAGCAGATTAAGATCCCCTGGTGATAAGTGCCACAAAAGAGGTAAAAATAACCCAGCCCAGGTTAGTACTTCAGTGTCACTTTAAAATTATTTTTAGGATAGCTTAAGTGGGTGTAAGAATTGCAGCGAGTTTGCAGAGCAGAGAGGCAGCACTAGCAGGAGCAGGGTAACTTTTCTAAGCAGTCTTTTGAGGGTGCTTCTTCCACCACTATCACAAGGTCTCCAGCATTTCAGTGGTAGACCTGAGCAGAAAACAGCATGGTTAACAGACAGATTGGTCCAGCAGCTAATTTTAGTGTCAGGTAGCACTCATTTCCCAACTTCTTGTGGCCCAATATCTGCTTCAGAAGGCCATGAAAATGCTGCTGGAAGGCAAGGCTGCTCAGGTGTGGTTGACAAGAGCTGGCCATGAAGCTGTGAGCTCAGACTGAACCACTTAATAACCTTCTCCCAGTCTCTAATTTTATTCAGAACCCATGGGTGATGCACAGGCTGCTGTAAAACCTGCCAGGTGCTCCTGCCTGCACCACAGTGACTGTCCAGCCATAGGAAATAATGAGAGGCAGACATCGTGTACTTCCCATAATCCAGAACACACATTCAACAGCGAGCTGGTAGCACTGCAACCTTGATCTTGCCGTCACTCTGAGAGCTCAACATCAGCATAAAGAACAAGACCGGTGCAACTCACTCATTGCTCATCTTTCTCTCAGACTCACAGCTATTTTCTGAAGATGCCATTTTCTATCTGTAATGCACACTGTGCTGCATCATTTGGAGTAGAAAGCTAACAGCTAGCAAACGGCGAGGTTTGAAACAAGACTTAGTCAATTAGGTTCACTTCTCTCCACCTCATCTACTTGTGCCCCTAGGCTGCATGCTGGTTTCATTTATTCGGCTATTTGCTCCATCTGCTGGACTAATGACTGCAAACATAGTTATGCCGAAAAAATGCTTTCCTGCCTGAGAAAGGTGTGGACAGTGAGGGGGTGGGAAGGAATGACACTTCCAGGCTCAGATCAGACAGGAGATGAGCACCGCAAGATCACAGCGTCAAGTCACTTCTCGAGCAGCCTAGTGTCATGAAATCACGTAGGTGATTTGTTAAAGGAAGCTGCCTGGTGTGGGAGCAGGGTTGGAAACCATGTGCAGGAGAGGACTGAGGTGGTTCCTCCAGCCGATCCCACAGCAATGGGTGCAGGTGCAGGCCTCCTGTGCATCTGTGTCTTCTATACATAAACCCTCTTTATGAATAAAAAAATATACGAGAGGTAATGGACACAAGTTGCTTCTGG